ATATATATATATATATTTATTTATTTAATTTATATTTATTGTTATATCTTAAATTATGTTTTAATCAATTCAGATAAAAATAAATTGTATTGTGTACAGGATTTGCGATTGTTATCTTTTATTTAAAATTCGCAGTCTAATTATTTCTTGAATAAATTAAAACATTTCGTCGAAAACTCGCTTAGAACGCGTAATTCCCACATTTAACGCTATAAATTACTAATGAATTCTTTTATTTATCTTACAAGTTTTATTTGTTTCATACCAAGCTCTCTTGCCGATGTTACCTTGAATTGAAAATAGTATAAAATACGAAATGAATATGGAATGTCCTGTTTCAAATTTTAATCCTTTGTATTCATAAAACACTTTCGCGAAAATTACAAGTTGTAGCATATGCTAAAGACATAGAAATATTTCACAATCGTTGAATTTCACAAGCAATGCCAATATCTTTTTTGAATTTATGCGACTTCGTCATTGATGATTTTTAAAAAACTGAATGATAGAATATTCAAAATAAGTATCTCCGTTACGTGTGTGACGACATCTATTGCACGTCCTGTTTCTAAATGTACGCGTTACAAAGAATCTAAATCACACGGCCGTTTGAGATCATATTCTTGTCACTGTCACCCTAAACATCCTCGACACTTTCTCGAGCTTCGCTGGTCGAGGCACCACGCGCATGCAACTATCACTCGCTCCCGTCGTTTCCGCTCTTCCGGGTCCACCGCGTGATCACCGCCTTAACGTGCCTCGTGCTCGGTGTCCGCTTGGCTTCGCGAAAAGTATCCGACGGCCGATGGCCGCGGAAAAATTCCGCATCGCGGCGTACGGCACAGCTGGTCATGGCCCTCCTGCGAGCCCTTGCGCGAGGTGACGAAGGCGTGACCGCGCGCGAGGGATCGCGGCGCGATCATTGGCAGGCTCTCGTCAAGGGCGGTCGCAAGCGATGACGTTCGTCGCTCTGAGCGAACTGGTAGAGAGATGTGGGCGGAGCCGCGCGTGGCCCGTACGGGCCCGCGGCCAATGGCACGGCGCGACGCGTAGGGAATCTCGTGATTTTTCGAAGGCACACAAACCGCGCAGCCGTCCTCCGGCCACGCCGAGCACTCCGGTCTGTGCGCGACGCCGAGCTCCCAGTGTGTTTTTACTCGGGGTTGAGTAAACTCCGGCCTGTTGTGTATCATAATACCGTGGCGTGCACACGCGGGTGCTAACGGGGTTAGCGTGCATCCTCTCGCGTTAGCGATCGAGTCGCACTGTTCAACTGAATGCACCTTCGCCTCCTGCCTTCACCGCGGCCTCGCACACGTCCCGTCCGTCTTCCGTGTCTGGGACGAGATTCCCGGGATACGGTCAACAAAATACCATCTCGGAGCAGCGGCCGGAGCGCGCCGTTGACTTCATGAACGACTACGCGGTGTTTTTTGGGCCGATCAGCCGAGCGTGAGATCGCTCGTTAGAGATCTATCGATCTACCACGGGGTATCGAGGATACTTTAGCTCGCTTTAGTCCGCGGTGATACGGTGACGACGTTCCGAGTGTTCGAGACGACAGACGAGTGATAGTGCGAATGTAAATTTTTCGACGGCTACATCCGTAAATGTAAATGTGTTTTGAATGAGAAATTAAGAGAGACAAATCGCATTGATTAAAATAAATTAATATTTGATATCTATAAAGCAAATAGGAAAGTGATATGAGTGATCAACAAGATTGAATCGCGAAATAAGCGATTAATGATAATGCAAAATAAACGTAGGAAGATCATTTTGACGAAGCGTGACTTTTAGGAATTCTTTGAAAGAATTCAAGAAATATATTATATATTATTTATATGCATTAAAAAATAATTAATTCTATTTGAAGTGAATTGTGAAAAAAGATTACAAAAGCGGCTATAATTCAAAAAGATATAATTTCTTTAAGACACTAGTCCACAATTTGAAGAAAATAATTTAGTGATGAATAATAGATAATAGAGAACAAAAGATTATATACAGCAAAATTGTAAATAAAAATATCCCGATAGAACGCTCTTCTTCTTTATTCAGAAACAAATTGTCAAAAATTTAAAAATATCACAAATGACTTGGAGCAAAACATGTGCGTTATAAAAACACTAAAGAAACAGTGACGTTAAAGAAGAGACAAACAAATCTTTTTTTTTTTTTACTTCAAACGAAGTGTTTTGATTGTGATCGTCATTCGTGGATTGTATCTAGAGCGAGTGCGCGAAGATGCACACGATTTTCAGCGAATCGCAAAATGCATACTATCGGCACGCGGCGACGGTGCCGATGGGCATGGGCGCGACGTCGTATCCGACGGTGGGCGCCCATGGGAGCTATTACGAGCAATATCGTTACGGTGGCTACGCGGCTACCGGCTACCATCCGGTGTCGGGTATCGGCCAGCAACATATTCATCATTCCGGCAAGGATATGGTAAAGCCACCCTACTCTTACATCGCGCTTATCGCGATGGCCATCCAGAATGCACCCGACAAAAAGATTACCCTGAATGGTATTTATCAGTTCATCATGGATCGTTTCCCCTATTATCGTGAGAACAAACAAGGCTGGCAAAATTCCATTCGGCATAATCTCAGCCTTAACGAGTGCTTTGTGAAAGTGCCGCGGGACGATAAGAAGCCCGGTAAGGGTAGTTACTGGTCCCTCGACCCGGACAGTTACAACATGTTCGACAACGGTTCTTATCTCAGGCGTCGCAGGCGTTTCAAGAAGAAGGACGCGTTGAAGGAGAAGGAGGAGGCGATGAAGCGACAGGGGATTCTACCGGAGAAACGTCAGGAGGACACCAAGTCCGGTAGTAGTCAGGTCGCGTTGCCGCCGTCGGACACTCCTACGAAGAAGTTGGGTGCTCTCGAGACCACCGGTCTGTGCAAGCCCAAGCGGGAACCGGTGAACGATAATCATTGCATGGCTGCGGCAGCGGCCGCAGCGGCGGCGGCGGTTCAAGTTAGTAAATACGGCCTACACAGCCCCATACAGGAGGACAAGACCTCGACGGCGACGGTCGCGGCGTCCGGTCAGAGCGTGATCCAGACCGCCCTGGGTCATCAGGTGCACCAGACACATCAGGTACATCAGGAATCGATTCAGGACGTGTCGATAGCCGGCCTGGACCCGACCAGCTTCAGCGTCGACGCCCTGATGACGACGCGAGAGAACAGCCTGATGACGCGCGATAATCAGCACCACTCGCACCACCCGCACGGCCTCCAGCACCCGCACTCGATCATGAGCAGCAGGGAGTCCATGGGCAATGGCAGCAGGGATCTGTCGTCCGCTGGCACTACCACGACCACCACGACGGCCGCGGTGGCGGCGATGATGGCTACCAGCGGCTACGGGCACACCAGCACCGTTTCCAGGGGCAACGCCTCGCCGCCCGGCACCATGTACACGCCGTACTGCGCACCGGCGGCAGCCGGATACGCCATCATGGACCACGAATACAACACGGCGCGGAATCACGCGAGCAACGCCGTCGGCCACTCGCAGTGGTATCAGGATGCCAGTCCCGATACAGCGATCTATCAGGACACCCAGTCCCCGAGCTGCCAGCTTTACAGGTACAAATACCAAAACGAGTACCAAGATGAATATTTGAACTAGGTCCAGAGAAGGCGAGAACAAATTCTGCCTCGCCTCGAATTCTGAGTTTGAAGACGGAAGTCTCGTCGTGTTTCTCTATGGAGAATGAATGTAGATTTTGATGCGATTGTCTGATGAATAATAAAAATTACAGTTTCTATATGACGACTTTGAATTTCATTGCGAGGATCGACAATATCCCGATTGCATTTGATTGGATATTTTATCTACTCCTTTATCTAAATTATGCGAAATTACAATTCTAATGAAGATATAATAATTTTATTAAGATTCAGACGTCACAAAGATATAAAATAGAAAATACCAACAAAAATAAGATTGATGATCGATTGCTTTGACGCTCAATCTGAATAATAAATAATTAATAAATATCAAATGATTAGTAGCTCAACATAACTCATAATAATATACTATATAATTTCATATACAATTTATTACACGTCGTACACTTTCTGTGAATTATTAATCAACATAGTTTTCCATGCCAATAGCTCTAGGATAATATAATAATTTTAAAATTTACTGCAGACATGTTTTATTAAAAAAAAAAAATGTAATCATCGCAATACCTAAAGACTGGTGATGAGTCAGATTCATTTTTTTTAATTTAGATAAAGAAGAGCAAAGTCTTCAGAATTCGGTTTAATTTATTGCAGGTCCAGCCCGTCGACGCCACTTTCGACGGGCCCGCCGCCGTCCCCTCCGCTGTACCACAGATATTATCAAGACTGCAACGCCGTCAATACCAGCGGTAATCTGCCGATAACGCTGCAAAAGTACTGAGAATATCGGAATTCAAGGTCCCACCAGCGGAACCTTGAAGAGCACCACGGCGATCATTACGACCCGGGTTTGATTTATGTGAAGCAAGAGTGGATACCCACGACAGACGAACTCGCCAAGGAATGGAACTAGACATGTAGATGAGAACTGGTAAAAAAAAATCGTAAATCTCAAACTTCCCCGTATGAAATCGTATCCTTCGCGTAGAGCCGTCGATAAGCACGATAGGCGATTAGCTAATGCGACAATTAGCATAATAAATATCTCTAGGAACATCGTTAATCGACGAATAGCGTTCATTCTCGCGAAAAAAAATCAAGAAACTAACAGTTTTATTTATTACGCCGAACGAACATTTTAATTTAAATTGAGATCTCTCTTAGCGAAGCAAAATAAAAACGTAAAAAAAAAAAAAGAATAGTCACAATATCGCATATTGTTTGAAATTTAATTAGATTTTTTTAACAATTCCGATTTTTTAACAATTAATTTTCGATAAACTTCTTTATCTTTTCACATCGCGAGATGCTATTCTTGTTAGCAATTTTTCTTATTTTCGTCAGAAAGCTCGTTCGTTTTTAATGAATGGGATGCGCGTGTGAACGTCCGGAACGAGGAAATAAATTGCGAATATCGGCGTAATCGTTCCCATCTATGTAAACATCGCGAAACCGGTCGCTGACCCACCTGACGAATATTTTTTTTTTTCTTTTCGTCATCACGTCACGCGTCGTTCGTATCCATCTGTGCAAACTTGTAAATCGTGCGAGATGTGCGAAAATATCGGTGTGCTTCCGCCGATCGTCTGTTTCCAACGAGTTTCGACGATAAGAATGAGTCAGAGTTATCGGATCCGTCCGGGATCTTTCGCACATTCACGGTGTTAAATCACGTTATTCCGACATACTGAAAAATGCGAATGCGTTTGTTTCCGCTCCTTCCGCCAGAATATCTGTGGAACGGGTTAAAAAAGTCATTGTTTGCTTTGCGCGAAACGTTTTGCATCCAATATTTCCCGAAATGTCCAGCTTTTTTTTGCACTACGACCGTGATTATTCTGGGACGAGCGAATTCCAGAATTTTTTCGCGATTTAACGCGACGCTAACGTCGGATGCATAAACGAGCAAATGAGTCGTGTGAGCAGCTTCGGGGAACAAATGGGTATATATCGATAGATTGTTTTATCGCAAATAGAGACTAACATTTTAAATTATTTTAGAATGTCGAAATCCACAGAATTCTTCCTCCATCAACATTTAATAGCGGTTTAATACTATTTCTAGCAGTCGTGTCGGGCAATATAAAGCTGATAACTTCCCCTACATTTATTTATACTTGCTTTGACGGAAACGTACACTCGCGGTTGATTGCAAGTTAAAATATATCGACCGCGACGGACTTTAACATGTAACATATTTTAATCGAACAGAAACGCGAATGGTGATAATTATCGTTATTTCAAGCATCCCGATTGAGGTGCAAAAAAACTAGTATAATAATGTGTATAGTGCGCAGAGAAAACGCTGATTGTAGTCTCCTGAGTTTTCGATGTCGACGCTGAAAAATTATTGCGCTTTAGTCCTCACCTCCAAAAGAGTGTTTGAAGCCATCACGGTGATCGAAAGCGACGTGAACGAGATTGTAAAAAGAATGATAGTTTTAGCGATTAGTGAGATATTGTACTTCTTCGCAAAATTGTGCATCGCGTCCTTGTGCATTTAATCACGTGATAACTTTCTTCGATGCCGGAGATTCGTGCGGTACTCGATGAAAGAGAGAATTAAAATAATTATATATATGCATATATATAATATTTAATTATATATATATATATTAAATATAATTATATATAACTATATAATATATAATTATATACGCTATATAATATATATATTATATATATATATATAAATATTAATTATATATAATTATATTTATTGATTATAAACACGGATCATGTGAATAATAATTAGCGTTAATAATGCTCGAATCTGCGTGTATATTGCGAAAAGTGACGTAACATAGATAGAATAAATAGACAAATCTGTACGTATAAATGCATATATCTGTATGTGTATATATGACACACACACACACACACACACATATATATATATATATATATATATATATATAGAGCGACATATACGCATGTACATACCTCTGTACGTGCGAAAAACATATTGATATTAATATTATTATTAGTACGCTATCACGTATCAGTACATAAGACACATCTACGAAATAAACGGAAAAATCTCGAATGATGTTTCACCTCTCTTTCATATCCCGCCACGAAATCCATTTTGCGTCCATCATGCGTCCATCGTTCCGTTTATTACTTGCAAAAGTATTATCAATGAAAACGCGCCGCATATTAAGCCGTTTATTGCTTACCGCTCGCGCGACGCGTTTTTCGCATGTTTGGACGCGAAATAATGTTTTTATATTTGTACTTATCGGCGGAAACATTGATGACCGCGCTGTGAAAATAAGCTAAGTAGACATGAAAATAACACGATGTTTAATTTTGTTGTTCGCCGCGGCCGCGACCATCTATCCAATTTTGCTCAAGAGCGTCCGCCCGCACGTTTATTATTTTATATTTATTATTCAATAATTTGTACTCGCGCGTTTTTTGGAAACAAAGAGGATACTAAAGAAAATGCAGAAAAATTAATTTGCGTCGAAATGCGGAATTGTTATGAATGTAAGATATTAAGAACGGAACAAAATTGTATCAGCATGAAAAAGGTCAAATGTGATTAATTTATTCGCATATTACTTCCGTAAAACCGACATTTTTTTCCCCCATTAAACCCCTTTAAAATGTCTTCTTCCACAAAATTTCCTATAATATTTTGTCGAAAATGATATTTCATCCGCATGCCGCTATATATTTTCCGACGCATAATTTTATATAATTAATGCCTCATATTAACTCCATGTTTACATTCTTCGTGATAAACGAGCAGCCCAGACGTTTCCGCGTAAAATTCGAGCGAAATTGTTGGCGATGAAGGTGACGGAGCTGAGTTTCGCGGAATCTTCGATGGATTAATGTCGTGTCTCGTAACACGAGAGCGGAAACGTTTATGCCGCGCCAGTGTTCCAACCAAGCCGAATCGGCATTCCGCGTCTTTTCCGCGCCGCGGAATTTACGACGCATCCGCCGGCTCGTTCGACGCGTGTTCCCGGCCTGTATCGGCCGACGATTAATTTTAATAACGATCCGAGAATCCGTTATTCCGTCAACGGCGAGGATACATTGTAGTTAGCTGAATATCATAGGTAAAGTACTAAAATATCCGTCGTCGTTAATGGTGGTAAACAACGACATTGAAAACTGAAAACGGTTGAAAAAAGAGGGAATTAGTTTTTCTGGAGGAAAAATAATAATACTTTTAAGGTACACTTCGTTAACGATCTTTTTCATATTTCTGCATTTCTACTTTAAGGCCTGTAAAATATAGACCTACCTATAGAATATAGGCATTAAATAATGACAATCGAAACGAAATTTAACGAGGCAAAAACGACTGAACAATTGATGTTATAATTATCCCCGAAGGGTGAATTTTGAAAATTTTTAGAACGATGGCACATTAGTATAAATAAACATTCGGATTAAACTCAAAAGGCACGCATTTTTTGAATTTGGAAATCTGAAACATACGGACTCCAGCGGCGACTGGAGCGTCAAGAATAAAAATCTAGGATATCTCTTGAGGATCATTAGTGGTACATACATCAAATGCGAACACGTATTACAGATCGGACAAAGTACCATAGAGAAGGCTGTTGATTGTATCACGTATGTAATTTCTAAGCGCAAGAAGCGAGGATCGACCCACTCGAAAGAATTCTGTCGGGCGGCGTGCACAATCGATGCGAATACTTTCGGGGAGAAGTTTCGAGAAGGATTTTGCGGATCCTGCTTGATCTAAAATCCGTCTGCTTTGTCCGGGGCACGTGTTCCGGGGCAGATGGGGCTAAGTCCAGCCCGGGGCGAGAGGCATCATTCCGGTTGAGTCGTTTGCGAAATGTAGTTTTAAACGAATCGATGCAAATCCGCGGCTGTCTCTCCGCACGTTAGCACTCCGAGCATGCAATCTCGTGGGAACTGTTACCACGCTAACATAGTTTGCAATTAACGTCGAATTGAACGTTACAGGTACTCGCGGATGCTTTCCTTTCGCGTGCGTATATTTACATACGTATTCGTTTAAATATTACACGTATGCATCGTTATTTAATCGAATACCAATGCTACACGCTACTTACATAATGGTGCGAAACTGTGCGAACCGCTTTAATTTAGAAATATCGATATTTAATATATCGATATTTTTAGCCACTTTTATGAGTCATCCGCCTTGTAAGTCTCACGTGCGTTAGTCTTTCCTCTCGCGTCTCGCGAAACATAATCCATTAGTTTGTATTATATATATAACTGTTCATCTCCAATTGTATAGCGATGTAAATAAATATATAAAAAGATGTATACATTTTTTGGATGTGTATTTGCTATATCGAAGTAAATTAGCGATGAGCGAGAAACGATGAAGCTCGTGTCTAAAGGGCTATTTGCACTACGCATAAAAGCCCGGGCCATTATTGGCTTCCCAATAATCCAGGCAAACACACAAATTCATCCACCCGCGGTAAGAACGCGATTCGAGGGTGAGAAAGTCAATGCAGCAGCCCCTCTCTCGTCCTTTATCTCTATGGCAAACATTTCACGTTATCCATCCGAGGTTGCTCGCCGCGATGTAATTTAATCTTTAATTTAATAAATAAAATACTGATTCTAAATAGATAAGTATAATGTTTAAAAAACGGAAAATAGATAATATTCAAGAGAAAAGCAGAGGAATGCATTTGGCACGTAATAAAAAATGATAGAAAATTCGAGAAATTTTTAAACAAAGATTACATAGATTGACACTATTAAATTAAAGGGCTAATAATTAATCATTACAATTTTCTTGGCATTTTTCTTCTTCAAAATTTTCATAAAAATGATGAATGTTGAGCTGGATGACAAAGGGTTGTAATCTTAAACATATGGTAGAAAGGAAAGGATACGTTCCGGTTAGAAAAGCCTTTTCAGAAAGTATTAAAGTCGGCTTCCCACACATGTGCACCATACACATGGAAAAATCTCGTTATGAATATCTCGGAGTTATATGATGAAAGAGAGAGGAAAGATAAAAACACAGCATTCGGGCTACCGTATTTTTAAAATCTTTTAGCTCCTCGTAAAATACACATACACACACGTATATAAATTATTTGTGAAATATTATCTGTTCGTAAACTCGCGCACGCTAAATAATTAAGTTCTATTTA